CACACACACACACACACACACACACACACACACACACACACACACACACACACACACACACAAACACACACTGCTGTGATTAAGTGCAGTTGAAGCAGTTGCTACCACCTGCCATATGTCGCACTGATTGAATCTGAATGACAGAGATTTAATGTGAGCCAGAGGTTAAAGGTCAAAACACTGACGGCCGATGACATCGCTGCAGCAACAGAGCAGCTTTTATCAATGACCTCCTTCTCTTACATCCACCTCCAGCTCGCTGATGAATGTGGGTCGGTTCTTTTTCATGGCAGCAGTGTTTTTATGCAGGTGCTCTGAATGGATTTCGGGGGGGGGGGGGGGACTTCACTCAGCAGAACAGCCGGCTCACATCTCTAGTGTAGTTTGTAAAGCCACCACATGGAGTCACTGCGCAGCAACGACTGAGCCTCTCAGGAGCAGTCCTGACAAGTTCATTTAATGGTTTTTATTTACTGTATAAAAGAGAGAGAGAGCTTTCACAAAGGCTCTCCTTTATGTGTGTCAGCTGGCGCTGTCATGTGATAAATCCATGTGGAACCAAAAAGCAGCAGCGATCAGCTGGTCTGGAGGAACAACATCCAATCATCAGCACACGTGTCTCACATGGACCGGGTTCAGGAGTCAAAATGTCAACAAATATATGACCTGTGACGAGTGACGCCGGTCTGGGATCTGTCTGGCCTCATCCCCACGCAGCTGTTTGAAAACGGCAGCTTTGTCTGAGGCGAATAACAGATGAGGTGTTGATTCGAGCAGTGGGAGGCTTTCATTCGCACCTGAAGAGGAGCGAGAACGAACAGAGACTGGCACCTCGGTGTGGAGTGTGATCAGCGACATGACTGGTTCACTTTTACACCAGAAGTGTAAAAACCTCATCCGACACATGCGTGTGGACTTTTGCACACGTCTCGGATGCTCATCCACCTCTGCAAGTCTTCTTGCGGTGGTCCTTTGTCCTGTTGTCCCAGCAGTCTCTCACCTTCCACCCCCCAGCTCATCAGTTCTGTTCTCCCTGAGGGTTGTTGGGTTTGGTGGTCTGCAGTCAGACTGACACCGGGCCTCTAAAAGCTCAAGGTCAAAGCCAAAAATAGGGTTTCTTGTCCGATCTTTGTCCGGTGGATGTTTGTAATATATGAAAGTGTGCTCGGCATTAGAGAGGATTATTGGAGAGGAGCTCAGGTCAGTGAAGAGGCAGCCCCACACAGTGAAGGATCATGATCAGAGCCCCCCCGCCGTTGTCTGTGTTGATCCAGACTGATGACAGGAGCGGCAGCAGCTACAAAGGAGGTAATGGAGCATGGCTGAAGAGACACAAGTTTGAAAAGGTCGGGGAGGGGGTGTGTGGGCCAACAGACACATGAGAGCTGCGGGACACGTGCTCCAGAAGATTAGCTGAACAAAAACACCGACATCACACACACAGACAATATTAGGAGCAGATATTACCAATGAAAAGTTGCATCACTGGGTCTTGTGACTGATATTAAATAGTTAATGACACACAAGTGCTTTGGAATTGGAGCTGTTTGGGGTGGAGCTCCATCAGCTTTGGTCTTTTTTATCTTAAGGGTGGGGGCTTTTCAAAAGGTTTGGATAAATCTCAAATCCAGGAAATGTGCAACGAGTTAAGACAGAAGAAAAACTCAGAGCATTACTCTAAGAAATGTTCAGCATATGCTATAATTATGTTTATAACTTTGAAGTAACTATTTTAAAAGGAGTGAACCCTAAAATACATCACAAAAATTAAAGTGGCAACTAAATATGCACTTTAAAAGTGAAACATTGGACTTATTAAATCATCATCAAATATAAACAAAAAAACCCCCATTAAATTCAGCATAAAACAATATTAATTTCATGTCAGTGTCTGAACATAGCGCTGTTTAAGGTTTCCAAGCTAAAAGCTGCGTCCATTTACCACGCCGTGGTTTCACAACTGTTTATCCTTGTGAAGTTTTTTACTCTAGATTTGTCAAAATCTGGCTTTTTGTTTAAGTTGTGGCAGTTTTTTGTGTGTTTATGGTTAGATTCTCCCACTCTTGTTGTCATCATGCTCGTTTTCTGTGTTTTGTGGTTCTTGTGTTTTCATTTGCAGGGAAGCAGACACGACAGTGCAATGTCGGAATGAAAAGTGAGGTGAAGCTGAGAGACCATAAAGACTGGAGCGGATGGGTGGAGTTGATGCAGCTGTGATCGGTGAGAAAGGTGTAGGTGGGTGCGGCAGGTTCACTGGAAAACACTGAGTGAGGGAGAAGTGGCAGAAGGCTAAGAGGATACCACTAATTAAAATAAAAAACCCAAAAACAGAACTAAACAAAAGAATCACACCAGTCCTCTGGTCCATCAGTCACAGCTGCAGCCACTCCACCCATCAGCCCCGGTCTGAATAGCCTCTCATCTACTGAACTCAAGATAGAGTGAAAAGATGAGTGTGAGCAGTGACATGGAAACCCTGTGCCAGTTTGTGCACTGGGATCTTGATTTTTCCACTCTAATAAGTAATAAGTGGAGTTTTCAGAGCTGAGCCATCCATTCAAACAGGCCCATTCATCCTTTTCATGACTTCACGTGACAGCCGTGCCTCTGCCTGTGGGGCTGGCATGGCTGAAAAGGCACCCGTGCTTAAAAATAGAAATAATAAAATAACTAGAGAAATCCCCTTTACTGTTAAAACTCAGCGCGAAGCTGCGTGCTGAAGGGCTTTGCTGAAATTAGCTGTAAAAGCTGTAAAACCCAGATAGCTTACAGCTACCTGGGCTGTTAAAGGCAAAAGATGAAAATAGCTGAAAGCTAAAAGAACAGAACACTAGATGAAAGCTAAAGGTAGCAAAAGTCTAAAAAAAGGTAGCTATATGCTAAAAGCAGCAAAACGTAGCAGAATCATAAAAATAGCTATAAGCTAAAAGTAGTAAATAGCTAAAGATAAAGGCTAAAAGTAGCAAATGGCTTAAAAGTGACAAAATGTGGTTAATGTAGTAAAAGAACAGCTAAAATTATACAAAAACCTAACAAATTTAAAAGCATCAACAGGTTGGTTAAAAGTAGAACTGTAGCTAAAAGCTAAATAATCACGAGCTAATAGCCAAAACTAGCAAAACACTGGTTAACATACTAAAAGTGTAGGTTAGTGAAAACATCAAAACATTAGCTATAAGCTAAAGCAGTAAACGGCTAGCAAAAAGCTAAAAGTTGCATATGGCTAGCTAAAATGGCTAACTAGAAGCTAAAACAGCAAAAAGTTGGTTAAAAGCAGAACTACTGATAAAAACCAAAACGAGAAAAGCCAAAAGTAGTAAAACACTACTTAAATTTAAAAATGTAACATGCTAAAGCATGGAAACACCAGAACACTGGCTAGAATATAAAAAGATAGATACATGCTAAAGTAACATGCTAAAAATATCAAAAAATAAAATAGCTTTAAGCCAAAATAGTTAATGGCTAGTTAAAAGTAACAAAATGCGAGCTAAAACAGAACTAAAACTTTTAGCAAGTGTTTTATAACCAAATCACTGGCTAAAATAAAAAAATGGCAGCTACATGATTACAACACAAAGTTAGCTTTAAACGTCAAAAGATTAGCTAAAACCTAAATGTAGTAAGATAAAGTCTAAACTCAAAAAATGGCTAGCTCACAGCTAAAATTGTCAAAAAGGCGCAAAACGCTAGCTAAAATTAACAATTTTGCTATAAGCTATAAGTATCAGAACGATAGTTTGGTGAAATTTATCTTAAAGAAGAGAAAGTAGTTAAAATGCGAATCTTATCTACTATTTATATTTTTGAGATTTTTTTCCCTCACTCAATGAATGGGACATACGTGCTCGCGCCTCGCGCTGGCGGGAACGCGCGTTACATTTTTCCAGCTGCAGAGAGCTGAGCTGAGAGAGCTCTGCCTCCGGAGAGAGAGGGAGGAGAAGAGAAGAGAGGGGGCTTCATGGAAACACACACTGCCCTTAATCCACACAAAAACTGACCCGAATAACATCTCACGCGTCAATTAGGACACCATGACGAGCTCTTAGCGTCCCTGCGTGTTTTTGTCCGCGAAGAGGAGAAGAGGAGCTGTGAAGAGTTTGGTCCACGGTACGCTGGAGCTTCTCCCGAGGACAGGACGGCTTCAGCTCAGGCAGACCCGACAGCAACTCTGTGCAAAATGCAGGGGGTTTCAGCGACTGGTGAGTAAACTGCCTTCGCCTCTTTCTGTCTGGCTTTTATTAAAACAGTTGGCTTTTTTTCTGCTTTTTAAGTTGAAATGGCTAGTAGTACTGCCGTAGTACTGCGCGCACATTGCCCCCCCCACCCCCCACCCCTAAAAAAAAAAAAAAACAGAAAAGTTTTTGCCAGCTGTCAGCGGGCAGCTGCAGGCCCGTATCTACTCCTCAACAACAGCACATAGTTGGTCTGCTCGTCGGGCGGCTTCATGAAGCCAGCTGAAAGGAGCTGGAAGTGACAGGGCAAGGATCGGAGCAAAGCCGTGCCAAACCCGGAGAGAAAGGACCTGACCTCACGCTGCTGCTGGCTGAATGAAACACACACACACACACACACGCACACGCACACACATCTGCTGAATGACCGGAAATCAAACTGTAAACACACTTTAGGATAACAAGAAGACTCATGAACTGTCCTTCCTATTATAAAATATGTGTGTGTGTGTGTGTGTGTGTGTGTGTGTGTGTGTGTGTGTGTGTGTGTGTGTGTGTGTGTGTGTGTG